GTATTCAAAATATTAACACTACTGGCTTAAAAAGTGCTCACATCACTGATAGTTGCAAGATCAGGTTAAATAGCCAAGGTAATTAGTCTGCCAGGAGGGTGGTAGATTCAATGGTCTCCAGCCTGGAAGCAGCAGAGTCAACATTGAGCAGGCCAAGCATCTGTGCTAGAAAATGAATCCTTTACTTTGTGTCCAGTCTATGCTGATAAATGTGCTGCCATTTCTAGGGTGATGGTGGATCCAGGAGGCAACATTAACAGTCAGACTGTGCTGACTCATTAAGCATCTTAATTCCAATCATTTTCATCATAGAATGTGGGCATCTATGTAAGAGACTCAGACATTTTGATACCTTAACAGAAACTCAAAACCCTCTATTCAATTTCTTTATACAGCTTATGACCCTAAAGAGGAGGGTCTTTAATTGGCCATTATAATTTTCCAAATGACAAATCACATAGTTAGGCCATTGGCAACAACTCAAGGGAGTTGTTGAAAAATATAACCATATTCTTCATGAGGAGTGTTGACTAGAGTTATGGAAATGGCCTTGCGTTCTGTTTATTGAGTGATCATGTCAGTTTTAAGTTTGCCTACCTGTTACTTCTCCTGTAAAGATTTACAGCCTCGGAAACCCTGTACAGGGTTGCTATGAGTCAGAACCGACTCAATGGCACATAACCCTCCCCACCACCTGTTACTGAGCCTTAGATAACCCATTTTGCTTAGATAGTCCATCTGTAAAGCAGACCCAGGCACTGAGGTAAGAACCATTGAGTCCATCACCTTTCTTCAGGTGGTGAAGTTGGGAAGTAAATTTTTCCCAAAGGAACCAATGTCACTTTTTCAAGTAAAATTATGATGCTACTGGAACTAGGCTAGCTGTATTCTTGAATATATCATTTCCATTTGACATCAAAGGCTTATTGGATACTTCTCACATTGTTAATTGTTGAATGGAAATTAAGTCATTCCATAATTGGAATGTCAGGCTAAAGAGTCACAAAAGCCCCCATGGGTCAAGAATTCCATTTCCACAAAAGAGATGAAGCAAGTTAACAGTTTGTCACAATAGATGTGTCTGGTAGCCAGGTCAGAAAGTCCAAAACTGTCAGTATATACCCGAGGAAGTTTTCTTTGTTGCTAGAAGCTCCACCCAGAGAAATCATCAATCACTGAGAGTTGTAGTTTCAAGGGTTCATTTGGGCAAGGGGTAGATAGCATGCTACAACTAACTAGATAGCTTTCAATGACTCTCAAAGTATGCTAAGTGAAAGATTTGGGGTTTGAGACCACTTAGAGGTAGCTTGGAGTCCTGGTAAGGAACTCTAGGATAAGCACTGGGCTGCTAAGTATCAGGTTGGTGGTTCAACCCACCAGCTGCTCCTTGGAAACCCTATACAGGGTTGCTAATAGTTGGAACCATGTCACCAGCACTTAACAGCAACAAAGCTCTCTCAGATGAAAAACTTGGTGATCTATTTTTGAAAACCCTGTAGAGCATAGTTCTACTCTGATACACATTGGTCACTTTGAGCAGAAATTGATTCAGTGACAACTAGTTCCATAAAATATCTACTTTTGTTGGTTTACTATTGTGTTGTCTCAAGGGTGGGGGATGGGAGACCTCATTTTATTCTATATTGTATACAGAGAAATCTTGAGCGTTCTTACTCACTTTGTTATTGATAGCTTTCTAGGTTTGTCTCTCTCTTTCTCTTTTGAGGTCAGACCTCGGAAGAGTTTATGACTCATATTAGAATAATTTTTTAGTATTTTTGTTGGGAACTAGTTTTTTTTTTTTTTTTTCAATTTTACTAGAAATTATATTTCTAGTGACCCCATATTCTCCAAAGGCTATCTGGCCATCATCCCTTCATGTGGGCTTATGGGAAAGTTTAAGTGGCAAATGTATATTACCTGGAATAAGGGAGGTCTCAGAAAAAAAAAACAAAAACAAAACTAAAGGGTCTAGTTGTTTGTTGAAAATAATGGTTCTTAATTTAACAGAAATTGGGATATTCAGTACAATCTTTTCTCCATTCACAGCACAGGAGTAACTCTGCCACCCTGAATGCCCTTTATGGACAAGTTTATATATGTACTCATTGCTAGTAAACATGGTTTTATTTTGGCAAAAAGATATATAACAAAGCATGTCAACATATTTTGCATGTATCATTTAGTAACATTGGATCCCTGGTATGGCTCTCTGTAGGATAAGCACTGGAGTCTCACTGCAAGGTCAGCGGTTCAAACCCACCAGTTGCTCTTCTAAAACCCTTTACAAGGTCATTTGACTTGGAACAGACTCAATGGCACTTAACGAAAGCCACAACATTGCTATTGTTGTTGTTGTTGTTAAGTGCCGTCGAGTCAGTTCCGACTCATAGCGACCCTGTACAGGGTTTCCGAGGGTGTAAATCCTTACGGGAGTAGAAAGCCTCATCTTTCTCCCGCGGAGCGGCTGGTAGTTTCGAACCGTTGACCTTAAGGTTCGCAGCCCGATTCGTAACCACTACGCTACCAGAGCTCCTTTTTATTGTGGTAAAAAGATGTAAAAGAAAACATGTCAACATATTTTAGAAGTACCATTCAATAACATTAGTTACATTCATCATATTATGTAACTCTCACAATTGCCTGTTTCCAAAATTTTCTATCACAATTAACAGAAACTCCTAGCCTCTTTTAAAACATCCTCATGAAGATTCATACCAGGGAAAAAATAAAAACTACACAAGTTTTAGAAAAGAAAAATTGCAGTAATCTAGGTGTGATAGAGAGGATATAAACCAAACCTTGTTGCTAAACTTAAGTTGTTGTGCTGTGCCGTGGAGTCGGTTCCGACCCATAGCGACCCTGTACAGGGTTTCTGAGGCTGTAAATCTTCACAAGAGCAGAAAGCCTCATCTTTCTCCCTCGGAACAGCTGGTAGTTTCAAACTGCTGACCTTAAGTAGGGTATCTAATTTTCCCGTCACAAATCATTTCTGCTGGAATAAAATAGGTATACAGATAAATCATACATTTTTTAACACTTCGTGTTTAACGTAAATCCCTAGGTGGGCACATGCTTAATGTGACCACCCAGAAATGCCTTGAAAGAAAGGTCTAACAATCACCTTCAAATAAATCAACCACTGAAATCCTATGTAGTGAAGTTCTATGCTGATACACATGGGGGTTCACATGAGTTGAAACAAACTCAATTACAATTGGTTACTGCTGCTTAAGCTCATCCCAAATCTCTCATATGACAGCAAGATGAATGTCTATTCTATCAATGTATGTCAAAGACATAAAACCCCTCATTTAGAAAACTAACAGAAAACCCAGTTTGTCCTCAGTACTGTTATAATCATTCTAAAAACCTCTGAAGTGGTAACATTAAATTATTACTATTCATTTCTGACTGTAAATGTAACTATATAATGAGCAAAACAATTTAGAGAAATATAAATTTGGCAAGTGAGATCTTAAAGTTCTCTTATACCACCACCCTTTGACTTGTACCTGCACTTCTAGCTAGTTGTCAGCTCCTGTTGTAAAATAAATTAATCTTCAATATTGTATTAAGCTGAAAACGAATTTCCAAAATGAGTAGAACAATTGCCTTTCTCATGTAATCATAGTAATCTTTACTTCTTGTTATAATGTCAGTGTTTAAGTGTTTAACAATATATTTGACAATATTGTAGACAGAAAAATCAACCTATATATTAAAAAAGAAGATAAATAGGTTGTGACAAAGGTGTAACTTTATATGAGACAGATTCTTTAATATCTGTGGTGTAGTGAATTATCTAATGTCTGTTCTAGCCACAGTCTGAAACTACCACCAAACATTTCTTCCCTGCTGGGTCTAGGTAAGAGAAGGTGGGAGAAGATACTGATCGGATGACACGATTCAGATGTGGATGTTAGCAGAGTTTACTGTAATTGTAAAAATTTAATCCTCTAGCATGGGTATAAAAGGAACCAGCTCATAAGCAGGAGGGTGGATCTCATTACCATCAAAGAAGAAGCTCCAGGATGGGAGTGAGTCCTTTGGACTCTGAAATCCGTGTGCATTAAACCTTCTCAATCCAGGGACCAAAAGCTGTGACACTGTGGAGGTGGCAGAAGAGCAGCGGCAAAACCAAGAACAAAACAGAGCAGTGGGCTTCCCAGCCCATGGAGAAAGTAAAGCTGGGGGACTTTGGGCAGGATGCTTGCTTATAAAATGAGATGATTCAAGGCACTAAAGTGTGGAAGGTAGGTTTGCTGACCCATGGAGCTAGACCTGAATTCCTTCAGGCTGAGACTTAGGGTGGAGATGTGGGCTCCGTCAGCAGCTGACTGGGACAACTGTGCCTTGACTGTTTTCTGATCCTGTAAGTCCTGTTGTGGCACTGTAGGATAAGCACTGGACTACTAACTGCAAAGTTGGCAGTTCAAATCCACCAGCCACTCTTCAGAAACCCTGTAGAGGATCATTATGAATCGGAACTAATTCCACGGCACTTAACAAAAATAACAGTTCTAACCTGTTAACTTTCCTATGAAACCCCATAACTCTAAGTACAGTATCTGAGTTCTGTGTGGCCACTAGTACGGAGTTTTGAACCCAACTGAGGAGCAGAGACACTTGTGGGAAGAATGGTTGGTGCTTCAGTTTTGCAATATTCAAGACAGTGTGGTTTTATCTCAAGGCTTAGTTCTGAAACCATTTATTATAATGTCTTCTAAAATTCATAAGCATAAATATATTCTCCTAAATATTTTTACAGTGTTATTTTGTTTCAATCAATCTAAATCGAACTGAATTTGCTCACCAGAAGTATAAAACATTATAAAGAATGACACTGTAATACTTCTTTAGAGAATTCTATTTTTATTAAACCAAAGATTTAAATTTACATATTTTCTCCATAGAATGAAAAACATCCATTGGCAGTGCTGCCAAGGCACGGCATGACACAAAAGTGATTTTCATCTTTTCTGTGGCTCCGTCAAAATTTAAATAAGGTGATGCTTACAGATGTAGATCTGCTTCGTTTCACAATCGTCAGCCATATAAGCTTCTCTTGATTTGTAAGATAAACAGACTTGTACCTTTGGATGTGTAGCAAGGTCAAAGCTAAAACAGAAGTAATGTCACATTCATTATTATGAAATCCTATAACATACAAATCCTAGAGAGGTAAAACAAAAGTCATCCATAAAATTTTTTTAACATAACATATGTAACATTGTAATACAATGAAATTTGTATCACTTGGTAGCAAACTATTTATAAAGTATTCTTGGTCCATGAGAGAAACAAAAATTAGTTAAAATTCCAATGAAGGATAAAGTAACTCAGAAGAGAAAAATTCCATGGATTATCACTAATTGTCAAGGTAAATAGATAAATTAACAATAATAAAAAGCCTGTGAATAAGAAGCCTAAGTAAACTCTTCTGATGGGGAAAAAGTATTTTTAGATGTGTCGCTGCAGGATAATGCACTAGACCACAAGGTCAGTTTGAACTGCAAGGTTGGTGGTTCAAACATACCAGCCGCTTCTTGGAAACCCTAGACAGGGTTGCTGTAAGTTGGAGTGGACTCAGTGGCATTTAACAACAACAATAGTCTTTAGGTTTATAGTGAGTGGAATGTTAAAAAGCATGTGCATGGCCTGGAAGGCAGACTTGTTTAGAATAATGTGGTTAGTGAGAAAGTAGATTTTGAGCCATGACTTATAATAAAACATCTTAGGAAAGTTATGTCCTCTGAGTCTGAGATCCAGAATGCTGTATAATAATGATGTTGGATTTAAGTTAATTATCTCTCATCAAGTCCCCAAATGTCCTTGAAATTATTCCCCTTTATTTCTGTTCCTTTGGGAAATACAGTAATTTAATCAAGAGCACAGAAAAATGATTGTATTGAATACTTACAGATCAGAGGACACAGCTGAATCATTTTCCCACAGCCAGTTCTTGTCAATTCCATTATAGTAGACTCCAATCCAAAAGAAAGATTTTAAAGAGAAGAAATGCTAGTGATAAACAAACATATGCAAATATAACTTTTGTATATTATCTTTTCATCAACTGCATGAAATTTCCTTTAAAACTATTCAACATCGTATCTATAGTTATTCAATCCACCTATTCAAGAAAATCATTAATTCCATGCTATATACCAGAACCTTTTCAAGATGTTAATGATATGCAATGTCTAGTGTTAACCATGACTCTCATAGGAGACAAAAAGAAAATAAACAAATAAAGTATGAGTAAAAAGATCATGTTTGAAGGATTATAATCATTGTAATGATATGAAGTGTATGATTTGTTAAATATGGGATTGATAAACTGGTAAACCTTCATTCAATTCACAATAAAAAGGTTTTTTTAAAAAAATCAAGATGTTGGTTTGTGGTATAAAGGAAGGAATTTTTTTTTCTTTTAAAACAGAATCTTCATAGATTTTGGAAGCCCTTGAGGCACTGTGGTACAAACACAGGACAGCTACTGGAAAGATTGTGGCTGAAACTATCAGATCAGCTAGCCGTTCCTTGGGAGAAAGACGAGTCTATCTACTCCCATAAAGATTTCCAGTCTCAGAAAATCTGTGGACCGTTTCTACTCTGCACTATAGGTTTACTATGAAAGGGAATCCACTCGTTGGCAGAGTTAGATTTGTGTTTGGTTTCATAGATGTCTAAGGGACTCATTTTACCCCTGTGCATACCTCTTCTCTCTTCAGGTAATTTATAGATACACTGGTGATTCATACTTGCTCTGTATTTGTGTTCCTCTAGCAGAAGAACTCCCACAGAGGGTACCTAACCTGAGAGAATTTACACTGTTGAAGTTGGGAAAACTTTCCCATCTCCTCCCATATAGTTCTTGATTCTTATACAATGATCAGACAATGGCATTAGCTTTTGGTCTATAAAGGTTATAAAATCTTGGGGTATCTGACTGAGATAGTCCTTATGATAACTGTCTCCTAATTGAATCTTTCTTGATATATTTTTTCGGACTCCTGGTGTGGTGCTGTAGGATCAGCACTAGTCTACAAACCATGAGGTCAGCAGTTCAAACCCACCAGTTGCTCTTCGGAACTGGGTCGCTATGAGTCAGAACCAACTTGATAGTACTTAACAACAACGTATTTTTTTTCATGCAGGACATTGCAAATGTTATCTCAAAACATTTCTTTCTTGTACATAATATACAGATCCTATGATGTGGCACTACAGGATAAGCACTGGACTGGTAACCACAAGGTCAGCAGTTCAAACCCACCAGTCACTCTTTGGAAACCCTATAAGGGTAGCTGTGAGTCAGAACTGACTCGATAGCACACAGCAGCAAAAACAATGCCATATTTTGCATGTGGAAGTTGATATAAAAGACAAACTAGTGATATCCTTCAGCAACTCAGATATTTGAAAGTGAATCCTAAATTTAATTCAGGTCATCGACTACACATATCTCACATACTCATATGATGATCAGCTGAAGTAACAACTTACCAGCTCCTCCCTGTTTATTTTCAGGAGGGTGGAATTCTGAGACAAGCAGGCACCTTGACTCTGTCTCCAGGTTAATTTCTCCTTAGAGAAGTAGTAACAGCTGTATCTGAACCAAATCCAATTTGTAGGGCAAGAATAACAATCTTGCAAACAGAAGCAAATTTTTTTTGTCATCATAACATGTAAAGACAAAAAAATGAGTTATTAAAAAATGTTAAAAATTAAAAATGACATTTTTTTTCTTTTTCAACTTGCTACTACATTTTATATCCTTTATATACAATGTGGCACAAATGTTTAAGGCTGGACTTGCTAACCTAGAGGTTGGCATCTAGAACACACATAGCAGTATCATGGCAAAAAGATCTGTCCATCAGCTTCCATTAAGATTACAGCCAAGAAAAACTTACAGAGCAGTTCTACTCTGCAGTACATGGGGTTTTGCCAAGAGTCATAACAGACTCAATGGAAACTCATAGTATATATAGATACAAATCTGCTGGTATCAATTTATATAAGGATTACTCAAACCATTTGTTTTCTTATTTCTTTGCCATTGTTATAGCACCTTTATAAGCTGGAATGTTTCCATCAGTGTTTAACCAATTTTTACTGAAATTTTGTCTGCTCAATAAAACATAACCTTTCCAAAGTTTGTGCTCAGATTTATTAATACTATCATCTCTACACTCCGCGGGAGAAAGATTTATACTCCCGTAAAGATTTATACCCTCGGAAACCCTGTACAGGGTCGCTATGAGTCGGAACCGACTCAATGGCACTTAACAACAACAACAACAACAACAACAACAACATCATCTCTACAAGCCTATGAAATTGTACCAGAATGTATAATAAAAACTTACCTCTCTATTCTTATCTAGCAGTTAATTATCCATTTTACACTATGGTGGTGATGATGTACCTTTTTTTTTTTTTTTTAATCTCATAAACTTTTTTTTTTTAATGTTTTATTGTGAATTATGTGATAGTTTACATGGGAGATCATTAGTTTTACATTCATCCTATCATATATCATTTCATTGCCATGGTTACAATTCCCTCCATGCATCATCAACCAACCAAAGGGTATACACTCACTACAAACTTGCCCCCACAGTTGTCAGCACAGAGCTCCTCTCCCTCTCTGGGTCTAAAGTTCCCAACTGCTCCATCTCTCCACTTCATCGTCTCTGCCTCCATCTCAGGTATCACTGCTTCTCTGGGTAGGATATACCATATTTTTATAGGAGCAGAAAAACTTATTTTTCTGTCACTCAACAGCTGGTAGTTTTGAACTGCTGACCTTGAGATTAGTAGCCCAACTCATAACCACTATGCTACCAGAGCTCCTATGGTGGTAATGGTGGTTAAATACCCTTTAGTCAGTTCCAACTCATAGTGACCCTGTATAGAGTTTCTGAGGAATGACTGATGAGTTTGAACCACTGCTTATCCTGCAACACCACACCAGGATTCCCACTATATAACTTAATGTAAAAGACTATGTCTTATTCATATTTATATCTTCTATAACCAGAGTACCTGGTCTACAGAAGGTTCTACTTTGTGGCTTGATTCAATTATTGAATATCTTTACAGTTTTAATCAGTATAAGAACCAGGCCATAAACCATTGCCTACCTCTTTGCTGGATTGTGAGAGGTGTTTCTTTAGAAGACACTACAAAAAACAGTCAAAAAATAATTAAATTAAACTTTAAATTGAAATATCAAAATATTACAATATTATACAGAAGAGTAAATCAGAAATTTTAAAGAAAGGAAGACATTTGTGGAAGTAGAATTTTTCTGGGTTTACAATTGGCTTATAATATTCTATTAAATAAATAACACTCACAAAGGGGAAACAATATGGCAAACTCTATAGTTTCTTACAGTTTGCAGCAAGAAGAGGTACTGCAATGGCTGTGACCAACAGAAGAAGACACAAGATGCCCAGCACCACAGAAATGATCTTCCAAGGCAGAGCTGGTAAGTCTAGAATCAAAAGCAAATGTGTACATCCAAGAAAAACAAAAAATCAGAGGGAGCAAATACTGTTGAATGATGATGTATGGAGGAGATTGTAATCATTGTAATGAAATGATGAATGTAAAACTGATGTTCTCCCATGTAAACTATCACTAAATTCACAATAAAAACTTAAAAAATAAATAGTTGAAACAAGATTACAGGACTAAAACAAAAATTACACTTATTCAGCATTTTATAGTTACATTGTATCCAAATAATTTTTTACACTTGATTCTCACAACAAACCTGTGAAGTATATTTACCAAATTATTAGGCAATAATGAATAATTTGAATGAAAAATGAATAATTGAAGTAAAAACCTAATTTTTTTCTAACATAGGCTATTTACCTAAGATAAGAAAAGTAATGGCAGATGTTGTTAAGTGCCGCTGAGTTTGTTTCAACCTATAACGACCCTGTATAAGATTTACAAGGAGCTGCTGGTGAGCTTGAACCACCAACCTTGTGGTTCAAAACAACTTTGCAGTCCAGCTCATTAACCCACAGGGCCATATAAGCACCCCGATGACAGATATGAACCCATAATTTACAAATTCATCTTCCAAATTCTACTTGCTTTCATACATCTCTGCAGTAAATCAGAAAAGGTATAAACTGAGCAATAAAACTATCCAAAACCAAAATGGCAATAGATTAATTTAGGCACTGAGCTTTCCCCTACCTAAAAAATAAAAGTGACTGTATTCTAAATTAGGGAGGCAAACAATTGTTATTTATCATCCTCCTTATCCTTCTTTCTTTAACTCAACTAACACATAGAGTAGTTCCTAGGTGTCCATGGTGGAGTCCAAGAACTAGGCCACACCCTCCCAAGCCAGTATTTGATGATTAGCTTATATAGAATGACTAGTATTTGCATATAATCTTTGAGCATCCTCCCTTATGCATTAATTCATCTCAGATTACTTCTAATACCTGTTGTTGTTGTAAAGTGCCATCAAGTTGGACTCATAGTGACCCTGTATATAGGGTTTCTAGGTGCAAGTAGTTAGTTTGAACCACCAACCTTGTGGTTAGTAGCCCAGTGCTTATACTACAGCACCACAAAATAAATCAGAATAATAGCCAAGATAATGAATTAGTAGGTAGTCCAGTAATAATCCAGTAATAATCAATTTTATTAAAATTTCAAGTTAATGCTTGTTTTTGAAATCTTGAGTTGCTCTAGGGTTATCTTTTCCAAATCTAATTATCTTGTGTAAAAAGATGAAGGATTAATGTATGCTGGAAAACTTTCTGAAACAGCATAGGCCACTCCTAGAGGTTCCTGCCAAGATGATATAGGTAACCCAGAGACTGCCCATTACTGGTTAATCCTTGCATAATACATGTGAAACTTAATTTCACTGGCCTTTTATACATTAGAGTACTGAATACGCGATCCAACGAACTGCACATAGAAAATACTTGGGGGTGAGGGTTTTGAAGGAGGGGAAGTAATTAAGTAATCCAAGTAATCCTTTATAGTATATTGGGTATTAGACTCCTGATATAGTGATACACAATCATTCCTAGACTTTGAACCCACAAGGTCAGCAGTTCAAACCCACCAGCTGGGTTTCTAGGAAAGAAACCATATAAAGGATCACTATGAGTTGGAAACACTCCACTGCAATTACTTGGACACACTAAGCACCACCAATTTAGAAGACGTATATTCATATTTTGCTTGTTATAGAAATTAATGATATCAAGACTAACCACAGCATCAGCTGCATGCCACTCTAATTCAATCCAACATGTTTACTTCTCACACAAAACAATCCTGGTGGTTTCAAAACAATTTATCTAAGCCCAGTTTTTCCAAGCAGCCAAAACCAGTGAATTTTTTCTTGCTTTGACTTCTATCATTCTTATCTCAAGGGAATTTCTTTCCAACTCTTTAGTCTATTAATATCTTATTTGTCCCTTAAAATCTGAGCCAACTCTCATTTTAGCAACGTAATTTCTAAACTATCCAAATTTCCTTTTAATGTTTTCCTAATACTTGCCATTTGGCCTGTATTATTAACCTGTACTGCATTGATATTTAACTTTTTGCTTCTTTTTCTCTTTAATTAGATGTAAAAAGAAAGCTTGTTATATTTTTGTATCTTCCTATATTACATGCACAGTTTAGTACATAATTTTATGCCCTCTCTGTTTACTGAATACATTGATATGTTACCTTTGCCACTGTCACCTTGTGCTGTAATTTTGGATTGTTTTTTAAGTTCGTGGTGCTTCAGCCTTTTAGTGGCTAATGGCAATTCATTTGAACTAGATTTATGATTAATGTTACTATTTTGTTTTGACTTCCACAGAGAATCCAGATTCCGTGCAGCATGAATTTTAGGTTCTTCATTCATGTTTATATAGGAAAAACTGTGTGGGACAAAGAATTTAAATGTTAGTATATGATTCTATCACTTGGGAATCTATACTGTAATAAGTAATATATTACAATAAAGGGGAATGAAACAATAGTAAACAATTGAGATTGATAAATAGTTACAGCTATTACCTTTACTAGACTACTTCTCAATACTTTGAAGCCCCAAATATAGGAAATATATCACCAAGAGTTTAGAATAAAAAAACAATTTCTTTTTAGAAATTTATTATTGCTTTACCACAGAATTTCAGGAGCAATTCTAGCTCTACAATATAGTGAGCATCTCCAAAGATTCCAAGCCAATCTTCTAACAACACTGCAGTTTGCTTCTTGAAATTGAATAATGAATCAGTTTACTATTCACTACCATGAGAAATCTAAGTGTTAGTTTTATTACAGTTGCAAGATAATGCACTGGACCACAAGGTCAGTGTTTCAAATCCACCAACTGCTCCTCAGAAACCCAATACAGGGTTGCTATGAGTAGGAACTGATTGTATAGCACTTAACAACAATAACAAGGAAGTATTGCACAATTTCTGAATAAAACATTAGGTAAATATTGGTATTTTATTATTTCTCCAAGAAATTACATAATTAATAATACAACTAATAGATCAACATCCCTTGTACTATATTAAGAGTTAAATCCATACCCCCTTCTATGTGCAGAAGCCATTGACTTATTGGGTGGTTTCTATGTTTTATGAAACTCTTTTAATTGCTAAAAAGTAAATAAAAATAGATTCAGTACCAATAGTCAAAGTTCAAACATATAAAGAATTTGATTTGTTGTAAATATTTCTTAATATTGACTATTCGCACCAGAGTTGCTAAAACAGTGGTAAAGTCATTTATTTGTCAGAGTTCAAAATACCTGCCATTGAAAGTTTTCAGAGCAAGCTAATTCAGAAAGATTACTAGGTTCATGTCAAAGACTTGGAAAGAAAAGAGTCAAAGTACAACTTTGATATCCAGGAGTCAGAAAAAATACCATACATAATGTTTATTTTTTTACAAAATAAAAAGGTTCAAAAGACAGAGATGGTCCAAAGAATTGTCTATTCATTACATTTCAAAGAGTTAGGGAGTGGGAAGTTAAAAGGGAAATAGAAATAGTTAAACTTATCTGAAGGAGAAGAAAATTCCAGGGGCTTGTGCTAATTCCAGGATTCAATATGTGTCAGTCAAGGGCAGGATCTCATAACTTGAAGCAGAGTCAGAAACTTGGAGAACCCAGTGTAAAAGGTTCTTGCTAAGTAATGCGTTATAATTAACTGACAGAATCTTTCACTCCTTTTCTGTGTTTGCCCTCAGCACCCACAAGACGGGGGAGGGCATCTGAAACAGGTCAGTTTTAGAAAAAATAGTACATGCATTTCATTATAAATATTTATAAATCATAAATAAAATGTTTGAGACCAAAACTTCCTTTCCAATAAGTAAATTTTCACTAAAGCTTTTAGAGATTTAACTCTGTGGAGCTATAAATTAACTGAAATTAAATTATAATTACAATGACAAGAGAAATGCTCATGTATATATTATGACAGGGAAATCCCTTTGATCTTGTTTATTGAAGTTCTTTTGGGACTGTGCTTCTGATCATCACTTTTATTTTTTATTTCATTGAAAAATTAAAAAGAATGCCTGGCATAGTATATATTGAATAAATAGTCCTTGATTCATTGAAATAATATAGGAGATTGCAAAAATATACATTCACTTATGGTATAAATGATGGCTAAAAAAATGGTATGCTTTAAAACCATTTAATAAAAAGAATTGATTTCTTAAGACTTGGGGAATTAACTAGTTACAGAAGCAATAGAAGGTGATTGTGAGCCACACATGGAAATAGAAACAAATGTCTAACACTTAGAGGAACACTAGAGGAAAATTGGTATGAAAACAAGAGAAATAAGAAGAAGGCTGATTATGGAAAATTATTTTAAATATTTCAATCTTTATCATAAATGCAAAGGACCAAGCTACAGCATTTAATCAAGACAAGGTGGGTGTGGTACTATAACAGCAGCAAAGTTAAAACAATAACCAGAGCAGTTTAACTTATTTAGATTTATGGCATTGGTTACTTAGGCAGTATGTCCCTAGAAGTGAAATAGATGGGGAATCTAGTAAATATTTACTTAATCTGTACAAGCATAAAAATTTCTGGTCAAATTAACTGCAGTGTGACTTACATTACCAGAACAGAGACGCAGAGCTGTTCATTCAATTTCCAGTCTTGAGCCAAATTATAGACTCACCTCATATGCATGTGAAAGTTAGACAGTGGATAAGGAAGATCAGAGAAAAACTGATGCATTTGAGTATGTTGGAGGACAATATTGAAAGTATCGTGGGCTGCCAAAAGAACCAACAGATCTGTGTTGGAGGAAGTGCAGTCAGAGTGCTCCTTGGAGGCCAAGATGGCCATACTTCATCTCTCATACTTCGGACATATTGCCAGGAGGGACCAGTTGCTGGAGAAGGATATCATGTTTGGTAAGGTGGAGGGTCAGATAAAAACAGGAAGATCCCCAGCAAGATGGATTGGCAAAGTGGCAGTATCAATGGGCTCAAGCATGGCAATAATTGTGAGGTTTGCCCAGGACCAGGCAATGTTTCGTTCTGTTGTGCATAGAGTCCCTATGAATTGGTACCTACTTGATGGCATATAACAACAACAACACTTGAATGAAGGAGAGGCTGGGTCCCCTTATGAAAGGACCTCACAACACTGACCAAAATGTACATTGTTATCTTTTCTCCAAGCTTTCCTCAAAGGGATTTCAATAGTTAGGATTTTGTGTCAACTTGACTGGGCCAGTAATTCCCCCACATGATGAGATCTAATATTATATAATCACTTCCATGATGAAACCTGCTATGAGCAGCCAATCAATTGAAAGGAAGCTTCCTTAAGAATGTGACTTATTTCCAATATATTAGATTCTCAGAAAAAGCTTGCTCGGTTTTTGCTGGGTCTGGATCCTGCACCTGGCTCCTTATCTGACCTACAGTTCTTTGGATTTGAGCCAGTGGCCTGCAGTATTGCCTGGTAATCCTGGGAGTTGACAGCAACCTGTTGTCTTACCAGCCAAACTTGGATTCATTTGCCTCTGCAGCCAAAAATCTGCTGCCTGACTTGGAGATCTTGGGTTCATCAGCCTTTGCAGCTTCATGACTCAGAAGAAGCCTACAGCCTGATATCTGATCCACAGACTTGGAATTTTCCCACCTCTGGAATGGCACTATAGGATAAGAACTAGACTGCTAACAACAAGGTCAGCAGTTCAAACCCTCCACCTGCTCCTTGGAAGCTCTGTACAGGGTTTTTATGAATCAGAACCGACTCGACAGCACTTAATAACAATTCTATAAGCCATTTCCTTGATATAAACCTTTATGTATATATGTACGTATAAGCTTCAATGGAGTCTGGTGTAGTACTGTGCAATAAGTCAGATTGAACATCAAGGTCAGAGGTTCAAATTCATCAGCCTCTCCTCAGAAAATCCATTCAGGGTCACAATGAATCAGATCTAATTTGAAGGCACTTAACAACACCAACAAACAAGCTTCAATGGTTTTGCTTTTCTAGAGAAAAAAATATATATATTAGGATACATTTTTTAAATTGGTTCTCAAGCCTGAATAATTTTAACGGTACTGATAACTCTGCCTCCACTAGTAAAGAGGATAAGGATGCTGCTAATCTATGGCATGAGGTGGCACTAGTATACAAAATATCAAAATTCCACATATTTTGATATATAAAATATCACTACCAAAAAATCAAGTATTAGTGGGAATTGAGGCTCTGTGTGATCATGCTTGATTCTTTTCTGCAATTTTGTCAGGATGAGAGGTATAGGGAAGCTGGTTAGTTGGTCCAATTTACAATAGACAAAGTGGTAAAGGGAAGGGATAAACTCAGGGATTAAGAGTCACAGCTCAAGTCTTCAAAGCTTCCACTTGTGCTCTGAAAGAAAATCTTATTTCTTGTAGTAACAGAGCTGAAATTTTAAAAAACCAAACCAAAAGTCTTATTGTAAGCATGACTGAATCACAATGTCAGCTGAATCCTCAACCTCAAATGGTGTCTGAAGTTAAAGTGAGGGTATTGATTAATAAGAAATGGGGTCCTGGAACTTGGGATGGGAGCTTATGGGCAGATAATCAAGAACCTGGGAACACTGAGCTACTACATTCTGTTGACTCACTTCTGCCAACAGAACAAGTCTTCTTACGTTCATGTTATGAGATTAACCCAGGTGTGTCGATGAAATTGGTTGAGATATCACCGGGGGATACACTTGGGGAATTGTCTAGGGCAATGCCTAAACAGATGCCTTATAAGGCACCCCTGAATGTTCCCAGGAAATACAGTGAGCCCCAAAAGATAAAATAGAAACTATGTGTAGATACACTACACACCAAAAGAACTGCTGGATTTTTCTAATATGTATAAACAAAAACCTGGAGAATATGTGTGGGAATGACTATTAAGGGTGTGGAATAATGGTGCAAGGAACATAAAATTGGTTTAGTCTGAATTTATGATATGGGCCACTCAGTATAAATTCTTCATTCGATGTTTCAGCTCAAAAGGTTAGAGAAGAATCTAATAATTTATTTGGTTGATTACTGAAGCATGAATTGTGCATTTGCCTACAATAAATCTAGCTGAAGTACCAAACCTGCCTGATAAACTCTAGAAGATGGTATCCTAAGACTTAGAAAAATTGGAATATTACAGTGGATTTACCAGGATAGACCCATAGACTTACACATGGAATGCTCAGAGGACACACCTTTTACTACAATAGTGATGATTTAATTAATGAAGAGAGCCCCAGTACCATTGATGTTTATTGTGATCGCTATTTTACATAAATCAGATTTCACAGTAAAAAGCAATCCCACATTCCTAGAGGGGTTTCAGAGATTAGTACCACCATCAAGGAT